TGTAGCTTATAACTTTCCAAGTGTTTGCGAGTAATTATTTTTGGAAATAGTTTCGGGGTCAAATTAAATACAAGTTCATTGCGCGACTTCTACTGATATTACATTATTTTACTTTTATTAAAATATTCCGAGAATACAAAACGTAGTTGTTGTATTATAATACAGTTTGAATAAAAATACAAGTCTGCACTATCAGCGTGTGCGACTTCCGCTACCTTTGTGGAGTAGTGGTCTGAGTGGAAACATATCTAAAGCTACTTTGCAAGTTTAATCCCTTCAATGGGTAGGGTGGCTATATGATTTATTATGATTCTTGAGAATTTTGACTAGTTTGAGAACATATCCTTACCTGAGTTGACGGAGTTGGATGTTCGAGTCTTGGAGATGCATACACATCTCCATTGACAGGGTCTCGATTTCAAGGGCGTGGCCCACCGCCATGGCCGTGTTGGCCGCCTTGGCCTCCCACAGTTGATCTTCCAGAGCGAGGCACTGCTCCGGGAGCTCATTGTTCGCTGTGAACATCCGTTTTGCCACATCGTTGCTGTCCGCCAAGTCAGTCCTACGTGACATCATGCATGTGTGAGAATAAAAACTAGGTTAAGAACATACATGAGTTGGCGGCGCTCGTGGTGCAAGTCGTCGATTTCCGCTTCGAGCGACATGATGCGGCGCCCCGCTTCGTCCAGCTGCACCGCCTGCTTCTGCACCAGGCTAGCGTTTGAACGCGCTTGATCGAGCACGCGGTAAATTGTAGGAAAGTTCGAGGACATGGTTGACATGAGCGCACAAAGGTGGTCTGTGAGGAGCCGTAAGGTGTCTTGTGGTGGCAGCTGAGCCAGGAGCTTCTTGATGCACTGCATCAGGGTCGTCGACGGCTGGGTCGTTGCCGACAAGCTGTTGGGTGTGCTGTCAACACTCAAATCCTGTGTGGTCTTGAATGGCGACTGCGTGGCATGGTGGGCGCTGTTGAGCTTGCGCTGCGCGTCCATGGCACCTACATAGGTGCGCAATCAGACAGACACACACGGTGGACGGTGACCATCATTCGAAGTGTCATCTGTACGTACCTTGGATGCAGATCATGTCGCTGGTTATCGTGTTCTTGGCGGCGCTGCTCGCCTTCGCGTTGGTTGTCATGCTCATCATCATAGCGATAGCGCGCGAGGTTATATACGTAGTATTTATTCAAGACCACATGAAACGCAATCGAATTTTAATTCAAGTCAAGGGTAGATCTTGTGTGGAGCGATAAATCGATGACCGTGTACTTGTACTTTGTATGTGCTATTTTGATTTTGACAATATAACCCACTTCTATTGATTGAAATTCAACATGCAGATTCAAAAAATTCTTACATTTCTGACATATTTAAATATTTCAAAATCGAAGATTGGATTGACTTATTTATGGAATTCGTAGGGAGATTGCCTACGATTTCATATTAAACCAATGAAAACACTCGTGTACAGTGATTGGATAATTCAATCACAAATCCGTGCTTATCACGAAACACTATTGAGGATAGTCCTTGGCAATGCAGGCTGCATGATACGAGTGCAATTATGCGTCGATGGAATATCATAGTCATGTATGTACTACGGTAGTAGTTTCGACATCAACGTTGACTGTAGTAAGCATCCATTCCGTCACCACGACCTTGCCCGCTTGAAAGGCATCAGCTACCGTCGGACGACTCCAACGTGCATTTGCATGGAGTAGTGTAATGCCATACATACTACATACTAGTACGTCAAGGTCCTCAAAGGTAAACATCCAACCACGTGATATTAACGACACTCCTGAAGTAGAATTTATGCACTTGTGTGCACTTGAATTGGAGAAATGTAGATAGGCCACTGTCAACAACTTAACCCGTAAATAGTTCAATACTTGCTTCATAACAGAGATATACTTACTTCTCTTGTGTGCTTATGGCCCACATACTAGTAAGAATTTCCATAAAGTCTTGATAACGTTATTCGCAAACGCGTCCAGCTCGACTATCAACATATCACTATAACTCTTCCATAACGATCGCTCCTTCCTACTACGTACTAATACAACGCAGCACAACTTGCGCACTGCTAACGTGACATACCTAGTGCTATCAATGGCATTACCATTAGGACGCCTCACATTCCCTTTTGGCATGTGACGTGTACGATAGAGGAGGATTGGCAATTTGTGATTTTCTTGAGATCTCATTGGATATGAAAATCGTAGGACCAGCTAGCTCCCTACGATTTCGTCAATTCACAAATGAACTGCGAAATTTTATGTTTGCTACAAATTCGTATATAACTTGGAAAAAAACGAGGTGGAGGATTTCGAAATGGAGAAATCGTAGGGGTGTGCGCCTACGATTGCATACAAAAGTCAAGTTCTGGCCTACGAATTCCGTAGAATGAGTTTTGATAATAGAATAATATTTCCATACAATTATCTGTGGTCATTTTCTGTAGACCCACAATGATTTCAGGGCATGGGGGTACCATCATAAACTTTCCTGCTGATATCATAAATTGACGCCACCCTTGGATTGCATGATGGCGACGAGCTTGCTGCGCGTCCTGGTGCTTGGTGGCGTGGGCATGATCGGGCGAAACTTGGTCAAATACTGCGTGGACAATAATCCAAGGACTTGTCGTCCCTACATCCGGACAAGTCCGAGATAGTTGTCGTATTTTAGGTACGAACGACGACAGTCCTCCATGCATCTCTTGCTTGCTTCCGCATTGAACTGTTGACACGATCATGACAGTGAACAAGACGGCGTTTTACATTGTCGAGTAAGCGGACTGGTCCCGCATGTGGATCGCGCGTTCAAGGCGGACCCTACGACTACAGGTGTTCAACCTGGCGGGCGAAAATGAGAGCCGAGATGTCCGTCTACAGCTCCAAGGTACGAGCGACCCCACTCCCTTGGACATCCATCACCTCCCATCTATCTGCACCTCTTCAATCTCCCCCACGCCCTTGCTCATCGTGCCTCCATAGTGCCGCGACATGGCCGTGAAATGCGGTACTTCTCCATCCTCCATGCCATGTGTATCTTCCGTACAATTCCTTGAAAGCCCTGGACGTGAAGACCTTTGTGAATGTGTCCACCACCTTCATATACAAGTTCCAAACGAAAGCGCCGGCCGACGAGCGCGCCAAGCTTGACCCGTGGACCCAAATACAAGCTCACAATATCTTATCATTCCATGCATAGATATACCACATAATATATATCACAAATTATATATTATATATATATCACATAGTATTTATATATATATCACATAGTCTTTATATATATCACATAGTATATGCATTGTATTTGTCACGGACTTCGAATTATTTTATACATATCACATAGTATATATATGTATTCGAGTCGCGGACCAAAATAGTGCTTTTTACTGCGGTCCTGTATATGGTGTTTTTGTTTCCTACCACTTCCTACCAACACCTACCAAGTCCTACCATCCGTATAATTCAGCAGTTATTCGTATCCCCCGAAATACCGTACTTCGTGAAAATAATCGGTATTTGGGGCACAGGATCCATTGCCCCAACGAAGACAATTTACTTCCCAGGGTGTACGTACAGTAGTCCACCCACAGTTTACAGTCAAGGAGTGCCGATGAATGCACCTCTGTAGAATTCACCAGACTGCCCTGTGTACTGCACTAAATTGGGCATCGCCTAAGGGCATAACGTTATCCATTTTGCGACTCATTTGTTGGACTGTGAATCATGATGGCATCATTTGCAATGTACCAACACTGCACGTCAAGGTCTCATTGAACAGACCATACACTAACGTTAGGTTTTACTAACGTTACGTATTAGCTCGAATATAGGTTGCAATAGTTTAGTCTCATTTCCAGGGAAGTCCTTGCAATACAGTGACTTTCCATAATAACTTCAACGGAATCTGCCTACCAAGTGACAACTGCCAGTCGCAATGCGTCACACCATGTCCATGCCGAAAAAGTGCATGCGGTACAGCTCAAAATTCAAATACATAGGTATCATAGCTTTATTCGCCATTAATTGGCACTTTACGTAAATTTACAGAGTAGACCCCAAGGTTATTCATAGTTGACCCCTATCCTTGTGGATGAATAATGCGAAAGGTCCGACCACCTCCGACCAATCAGAGGGGTCGGAGGTTGATCGCAATAATTGAAATTAGGACTAGGAGTTATGGGTATATCTGATAATATCCCTATACAAGTACATACAATATTCTATATCCAGAACGCTTAGGAGCGAGCTTAGGCCAGGGCCGGGAGCGTAGCGAACCAGGCCCGTTCACCCGCGAGTCGACTCAATATAACAGGAATGATCTATCGAAAGGTTGGGAGCACCGGAGGCCGGGAGCGAAGCGAACCAGGCCGAGGAGCCCCCCTACTGTCCTAGTTATAACCCTAAATAGGATAATTCGGACACAGGTTATCTATAAATGACCACTTCACGGTCGGACCTTTGATGTTATGGCATGCAAGATTTTGCATGGTTGTGCATGACGTGATGCTCGCTAACAAGTACTTTGAGATATTGCTTTACTATGGATGATGGATTTGGAGGTTGCGTATGAACAAATTTCAAGAACATTATTACATGCAACCGTCACTTGTTCGAAAGTCGCACTGTTTCACTGCAGTACAGTATGGCTCGGCAACACCACGCACCATGGGAGCACTTCTACGCGACCGAGTCAGAAAACTTGGCGCTTCGCGAGTCAGTTTCCGAGATGCAAGTGGAGCTGGCCCAATTGCGCGTGTGGAAGGCGCACGCGGTGGAATTGATGACCACATGGGGCCCAAAGCGTCTGAAAATGCAACAGGAAAAGGACGACACGCGCAAACTCAAAAAGAAGTTGCTCGACATGGAGCAGCAAATTCTGGAGCGCGTGGCGTTGTCCGAGATGCTGGCTGAGCTTAAAGTGCAGGACTCGCAACTGATCGACAAGCTAGCCAGGACACAACGAGAGCTGGAGCTATGGAAAAGCAAGTCCGCCAACGAATGTGCCGCCCATGTGCAGACGCGGAGTCAATTGACGTTCATGGAGGACACATTTGAACAACTTGTAGAGCAATTGCTGGTGGTGCGTGCACGATTTGGATCAGCGGAGGATGCCAATGGAAAACGAGCTCTATCAACAACCGAACAGGTCCAGCCAAACGAAGGAGAGTCCCCCACTGCATATCAAGAGCGAAAACTAGTATGTACGGTTCATTGCTTTTACAGTGTTATTGATCTTAACATATTCAATTAAACCTTTGTAGCTTTGCGGGATGTTTAGCATTGGACAAACGTGCGTACAGTGGATAGAGTCGCGGCTCGTGACAGATGCCGCCGAGTTGGCTAGACGGGAACACCTGCAAAATGACTGGACACAGGAGAAATCTCGACTGGAACGAGAGTTGAGCCGCGTGAGTCTAGCACTACAAGACGTGGAAGCTTCCACTGCCAAACAGGCGCAAGACCTCCGTCTCTTACGTGCCGAAGGCGCCCGGCACGAGCAGGTGCTGTTGGCGGCGCGGCAGGATGTGGTCAAGTGCACACAGCACACGCTTGAAGGCAAGACGATCATGAAGCGGCTGCTTCGCGACGTTCGGCAGTATTTGCACCTGACGCAGTTGGAAGTCAAGAAAAAGTTTGGGTATGTCCCCGATGCCATCACCCACCACGTCGTTTGGGAAAACATCTCGACGTCCATGAAGGACTTTGATGCGTTTTTACTCGAAACGAATAATACGAGTACTCCAGAGTGTTCTTAAAACCCATGGTACGAGTTGAGGGCGGGTCGAGACACTCGTGGTTTGCCTTTTCGAGCATCGTCGGCGACTTCTTGACGTCGAGCGGCTTGGGCGGCCTGCGTCCGCTTAACACAGTCGACGATAACCCTTGCTTTGTGGCATCGGAACTTGGACTGTACGACTAGAGCGGCCTTGTCACGCATCGACTTCATCGTTACGAGAGCGTGTTCTCGTTCGGCGAGGGTTTTAACCGGATTCGACGTAGCACTTCCAATTGGAGGGGTTCCTCTACGGGCGGAAATAGCACTAGACACACCTTCTCCGCCAGCTCGATGTGTATTCTAAGCCAACGTACCAAGATATGGTTTACGCATGAATGATGTGGTTTCTAGTGCTGGGTAATATATATATCCTATATATGTATGTACCTTTGTAGATAACTTTGCGTTGGTTTGAGGGCGGGTATTGGTTGGTTGTGCTGTTTGCACATGCCACGAATCTCGAAGCAATTGGTGAAATTCGTCGTCGCCGTCGATGGAAGCTCCGATGTTCTACACATATATTTCCTCATTTTCAATGGCCAATGAGTGGATGAATAAGTAACCAAACGTACCGCGTAGTACGCTGCCAAATCTTGTACTGTCACCACCCTCTCCTTCTTCTGGTTGCTGTTGTCTATACTCCCATCCCATTGGGCCAAAAACTCGACGACCGCTTGCCGCTCGGTTAGCTTGCCTTGAACCACACTGCGTTGACGAGATGGATTAAAATGCAGTTTTAAGTCGGCCAGCATCACGTTTCCCTTGCACTTGGCCTCCAAATTGGCATGAAGTTGGCGGACCAGGGCCAGTCGCGGCCCGCTCAATTCCCCTCGCAAGGCGGTTAAGAGGTCATCGATGCGGATACCGCCGCGCTTGTCCGTGTCCAGCAGCGTCATGAGGTGGTCGACTTGTTGCAAGTTCAAGTCCACTTTACACTGGTCCAGGCCTTTTTTCAGCTCATCTTTACTCAACCAGCCGTCGCCGCTGGTGTCCCAATCTCGCAGCACTCTATATGGTATTTATATGTATGTTGTTTTGGCTTACCGAGACTGATTACCTTTGTAGCCCAAGAATCCCACCTGAAGGGTTGGAGGCACATAGTTTGAACTTCAATTTGTCCATGATCGACTTCGCAGGCTCATGACGTGTTCCGAATCGACGGGCCAACGTTTGGTGCATCGACGGAATATGGAGCAATTGCGTCCCTATATCATAGCACAGTCGTTCAAGATTCAACCAGAAAGCCCTACACCCCGGAATTTCCAACCCCGGAACCCCCAACCAACGACCTTTAATGATATATAAACTAATCACTCCAATATGGTGTGTCGCATAGTATTTACCACAAGTATCGAACGAGTTGGCAATCACTTGGGCTTGTCGTGACGACAGTGATTTGTCCAAGTGGCTCAGCACTTTGGCGAGTACTTTGACGTGAATTCGCTCTTGACCGTTGCCGAGCACTCGATTGGCGCCCAGCTTTTGGGCCAACACGTCCACCGTACACGGTGGCGTAAACAACAACAAGCTACAGTACTTGACGAAATCTCTCTCGCGACACAATTCCAGCTCGGGGGACTTTTCGGTCTCGTCCACTTGTTCCACAGACTACACATACACACACCAGTCGTCACGTTAAAAGGTTGGTTTGCTGACAACTTACTTGATGGCCATCGGGATGTGTGACCAATACGCGCTTAATGGATGAATTCGCACACTGCCCGTCGCCGCCAGACAAGTGCCATGCATTCCGCATCATCAACTCAAAGTAGTCATCCGTGTCGATCGACGCACTCACGCTCTACACACACAAACAGCTCGAACTTAAACCCCCAATAAACGACCCGCATGTATTGTTATTAGCCACATCATGACCCGAATGCTAACCGTTTGCGAGACGCATATAGCACGAACGTATACAAATAAATAAACGCACCCGATAGTACGTGACGAATTCGTCGTACGTGACGACACCATCATGGTCGACAGTGTCCCACTGACGGAGGAACTCGGACAGAATTTGATCGGCGGTTTGCTTGCCCTGGATAAACTCGGGGTGCTTGGACACGTCGTACACGGTTCGGAGGTCGTCGATGGTCACTCGACCGTCTTTGGATTTGTCCAGCTTTTGAAACGCCATGTCAATGAACCGTAGACGACGAGGGCTGATGTCTCCGCGGAGGGCGACCAAAAACTCGTCAAACGAAATGAACCCGTCGCCGTCCGTGTCGAACGCGCGCAGGAGGCTGTCGACGTCCGAGTCGGAGCAGTCGACGCCATAGTCGCGCAGGCCAAACTTGAACTCGTCGCGACTTAGCCTCTTGTCTCCCGAGTCGTCCATGATGCGCATCATGCGGCTGATCCCTTGAATGCCATTGGCCCCCCCTCGAGCGAGGATGGCTTTTTTCACTTGCTCCAACACGTCCCTATAACGAACACACCTTTTCATATCGACAAGTTGGGAATAGGGTGTGATATGATCTCGGCCACCTGGGATTGGTGGAGGCGGCGCTTCCACTACAATCAAATCACTCGTATTATACGATAGTCCATGTGAAATACTACGGCGGTATAGTACCTGTCGTTGGATGCAACGAAATGCTCGCTTTGATTGGATTGGATGCTTCTTGACGTGATGGGGCGGTGGTGGTGGGAGCTCAACGAGTGGCCTGATGTCGATGGCCTTCCAGCTTTGGACTGAAGCTTGCGTTCGGGTGCTGTGGTGCTGCTCTTGGACGATGGTTTTGCAATGGCCTTGTTGGTTGAACTCAACGAATTTTGGGACGCACCCGAGGTGCATTTACTCGCCTTGCTGGAGACATTGGTGCCACAGTGCGACGGATTGTACTTGTCTTGACGTTTTCGATGAATCTGAAATTGAAACGACGTTGCGTGCTTGCAGTAGAGCCAATCGCCCACAGGCAAACATCCCAACCGGATCATTTTGCCATTGGCGTCGGCGACAAGTCGACCAAGGGTGATGAACAATTGGTTTAGAAAACGCTCGACAACATCGCGGGATACGTTCAACTCTAAGGCCACGGCGCTCAAACTTAATTTTGCTATGGAGGTCAACCCTATGTAGACAGACTGTTTCAGGCTTGCAAACCCCCACGTTTCACTGAACCTGGTTCCAACGCGGCGTGTCCGTCGATATTTGCGTCGTGGAGAAACTGGGGGTGGTTGAAGAAAATCGGGGTGTGGGTCGAGTCAAATGCAAAAATGCCAAAACGTTCCAGTCGAACGGGATGCCCCGCACCCAGTCGACGCCACAACGCGCTTGTAACAGCCTTCCACATTTTCAAACTGGTAGCCAACGTAAAGTCACCATGTGCGACTGCTGTAGCTTCAATGATGTCAGCCGTGGAAACATCCACACAAGAGCTCATGGGAGGTCGGGGAAATGCGCTTGAAGTAACGGCATAAACCGCGTGGTTGAAACAGGCGAGTGTCAGTTACGTTGTAACTGTCAACTGCTAGACTGGGTACAGTACCACTGTACTCCAAACGAGATAATACTGTTAATATTACTACGCTACCCACCATATGTATTACATTCACTGTCAGTGTCAGAACGACACTGACAGTTTACACCCATCTGAGGTCGACACGAATTTAAAACTCAATCAACATGTAATAACACTGTGGATTACACTGGGTCACCTTACGGTGCTCGTACGATCGATACATTTTAGTGTTCCGCTGCTTCTTTGTGCTCCTTCGTTTTGAACCAATTCAGTGCCAAATTTGAAGTGCATGTCAGGGGTTAGCGATAGCTAGCCACTGGTAACACAACTTAACCCGGCAACAGCCGTGGAAACGTCGATACATGACCTCATAGGAGGCCGTGGCACAAACAACGGAAAACTGAGTTTAGTTCCTTGTATTGATTGTGGGGGTGGCTCATTTTGAACTCATTTTCCCACGTAAAGTCCTCACGACGCTCGAAAACTCAACTAGGGGCTCGTCTCGGGTGTTTTGACGGTCACCGTGCCACGTCCAACCCATAAATTGTACGATAACGTTAGTAGTACTCACATCAACATATGACTTGAATCGTATCCTTGCCCACCATAGGATGCTGGAGACTTGCTCGAGCTCTTGTTTCAACCTAACGTGAAGATTAACAAAATGTTGATATCGATACGTCCATTGTCCCGACACTCACCGGTGTCGATTCAAACCACGATCGCCCCACCAGCATTTACTTCAGAAGGTACTCAAATGTATCCTCGATGGAACTCAATTGAGTACGGGTCTGCAAGTGAGCGGCGCATTCGCTGGTGCACTTAGTTTTCCACAGGTCGAGCTCACGCTGGGGCTTGTCGATCAGTTGCGAGTCCGCCGACATACGGACAACACCATGCCCATTTCCGCGCTCTTGGTGGATTTCCAGGACGAACTCGATCTGTTTCCGTGATTGTGTCGACTTATGGACCACATCGAGCGAATGTAGCTGCGATGGAAGGGGGTGCTGGAGTGCTGCAGTCGCACGATCGACACGGGCACCCTCGCGTCCAAGTCGTATCTATGCAATGCACGTCGCGTGGTCTTCCGTCAAATGATGCCGTGGATGATGGCGGCGCATGTTGTCGACCCTTAGGGCGAATTCTTGCGACTTCTTCATCTCATCCTCGTCCGAGTACGCAGTGGACTTAGCATTGTGGTACTTTCCCAGCGAACTCGCCGCTGACGTGCTGTTCATTGGAAACATCATGAAGATCTTGGGCAACAATAGCCAGCACCACCACGAGGCCATTTGTAGATGACTGCTAGCACTCGCTCGCCAGCACACTCATGTCGTTCGAGACGAACTTGCTCAGATACGCGTGACCATCGCGTCCCGTGCCACGTCACCACGCGGTTGTTCGTACGCCCCGTCCGTCCATCTCGGTGGTAATAAGTCACGACCTGTGCTTGGAGTACTCTATGAATGCCCTCAACCAAGTGGACTTTGGCGCATGGCGGCATGTTCGTGGGTCCCATCACGTTGTTAGGCCTATTACGACGAATACGGCCAAGGATATATGTCGTCGATTTGGCCGTTGCTGCTGACTCTGTCACGTGTTCCAGCTGCGGGTTCCCAGAAACAACTTAATCGACCACAACCCATAAACGAATGTCCCAATCAATATGTCCACACCCAAGGGATGACCATTTCGCCCAAACATCTCCATGTCAGGGTAGGTTTAATGTGAGCATGTTCTCATTCACTGCCAAGTACAAGTACACCATCATGTCCAACAGCGGCGTCAACTACGTCAGAGCCCCAACTTGATTTATATATATATAAATATATAAATGCTCGGATGAATAGTCATTTTAATACTAATATATAGCACACGTTGTAAATAATAAGTAGGAATAACGCAAGATAGGATCGGACGTACCTAAAAGTGTAGAACACAGAGTAATAATAATAGTACACCATTATTTCACTTGGAGCCAACGAGTGGAACCCTGCTTGGCAAATAATCTATTGCCAGCATAGTGAGCGTAATTATTACCACCAAAATTCACGAAATATCTAGCCGTGCGTTGGTTCGATAGACAGCGACAGCTTGCGGCACTATTTATACCAAAGATTAGTCAACTAATAAGTCGAAAAGGACCTATAGAATTGAAAAGTACTAGTACCATAAAAAATATTGAATATGTACCTGACTTTCTGGTCGAGTAATCGTACTACTGTACGGCGTAGGTATATATACAAATATATATAATAGACCTACTACAGTAGACATATATCTTCTGTATATATTAGGTTTATTTTGTAGTTGTTTCTATACTTTTGGGAGATCCCACCTGGCGTTATTCATATTATTTACAATGTGTTGCTGTGCTATTTATTAGTATTAAAATGACAAATACTATTCATCCGAGCGTATACAACAATATTAAAAGAACTACTGTAGCATGGGACTCTGACGTAGTTGACGCCACTGTCGGGCATGATATTGTACTTGTACCTTGTGTACTCGTACTTGGCAGTGAATGCATATTTCTATAATATATTAGGTATATTTCGAAGTCACCCATATACTAGGTTCATTTTGTAGTCATATTTCAAGTGGCTGACGTACCCCCAACCCCCCGACAATGTCAGATCCACCACCCTCGCAGTGTATTCCCCCATTGGCGCGCCTCTTGGTGGACGAACGGAAGCAGTTTCCGTGCTTGTGTCGACTTGTGGACCGCATCTTCTTTGCAGGTACCTACCTACCTACGTCTCCAAGAGCTTTCGTTTGCATTCAGCCAACATATATATATGACCCCCCAACCACGAATTCTCCATGAACCTGCTGGCCGTTGCTGCTGACTCTGCCACGTGTTCCAGCTGTGGGTTCACGGAAACAACTTAGTCGACCACAACCCATCGCCGTGTGTGCGATGCTGTGGCTCTTGTCGCATGTGGTCAATAGATGCTACTTGTACTAGTGTCATGCTATTCACACCCTGGTTGGTTGCCAGGACATTGTAACTTGTTATTACTGAAGCAATTTCTACGACTCTTTCGAATAATACACTTGAAATGGGTTGCATTGACGTGATACATAGCCAGGGTCACCTTTTAAATTTGACCCGAAAATGTGTCGAAACAACACCCAAAAATGTATTAGGCTGATCGAAGAATATTGTCAGTCGCCTTAAAGATGCATATATATATATATATATATATAATATATTTAATAATTCGAAGTATGTGGAATATAATATATATATATACTATGGGGTATATATATAATAATTCGACACTTGAACAAAGGTCTTCATGTCCAGGCCTTTCAAGGAATTGTAAGGAACAAACACATGGCATAGAGGATGGAGTAGTACCGCATTTCACGGCCAAGTCGCGGCACTATGGAGGAACGCATGAGCAAGGGCGTGGGAAGATTGAAGAGGTGCAGATAGACGGGAGGTGATGGATGGCCGAGGGAGTGGGGTCGTTCGTACCTTGGAGTGGGGTCGTTCGTACCTTGGAGCTATACGGACATCTCGGCTCTCATTTTCGCCCGCCAGGTTGAACACCTATAGTCGTATGGTCCGCATTGAACGCGCGATCCACACGCGGGTCCAGTTCGCTAACTCGGCAATGTCAAACGCTGCCTTGTTCACTGTCATGATCATGTCAACAGCTCAATACGAAGGAGATGACTGTCGTCGTTCGTACCTAAAACACGACGACTATCTCGGACTTGTCCGGATGTAGCTGCACAGGTCATTGTCCATTTGACCAAGTTTCGCCCGATCATGCCCAAGCCGACAAGCACCAGGATGCGCGGCAAGTTCGTCGCAATCCAAGGGTGGCATGAATTTAAGATATCAGCAGGAAAGTTTATGATGGTACCCCCCATTCCCTGAAATCATAGTGGGTCTACAGAAAATGACCACAGATAATTAATTGTATGGATATATAATTCTATAAATATTATCAAAACTCAATCCAATCTTCGATTTTGAAATATTTAAATATAAGATTTTTTTGAATCTACATGTTGAATATCAATCAATACAAGTGGGCTATATTGTCAAAATCAAAATAGCACATACAAAGTACAAGTCCACGGCCATCGATTAATCGCTGCAAAAAAGATCCTACCCTTGACTCGAATTAAACTTCGATTGCTTTTCATGTGGTCTTGAATATAAATATAACATCGCGCACTACCGCTATGATGATGAGCATGACAAACCACGCGAAGGCGAGCAGCGCCGTCAAGAACACGACAACCAGCGACATGATGTGCATCCAAGGTACGTACAGATGACACTTCGAATGATGGTCACCGTCCACCGTGTGTGTCTGTCTGATCACACCTATGTAGATGTCATGGACGCGCGGCGCAAGATCAATAGCGCCCACCATGCCACGCAGTCGCCATTCAAGGCCGCGCAGGCTTCGAGTGTTCGCCGCACACCCAACGGCTCCTCGGCAACGACCCAGCCGTCGACGACCCTGATGCAGTGCATCAAGAAGCTCCTGGCTCAGCTGCCACGACAAGACACCTTACGGTGCCTCACTGAACACCTTTGTGCGCTCATGTCAACCATGTCGTCGAACTTCCCAACCATTAACCGCGTGCTGGATCAAGCACTTTCAAACTCTGGCCTCGTGCAGAAGCAGGCGGCGCAGCTCGACGAAGCAGGGCGCCGCATCATGTCGCTCAAAGCGGACATCGACGACCTGCACCATGAGCGCCGCCAACTCATGTATGATCTTATCCTAGTTTTGATTCTCATGATGTCACGTAGGACCGACTTGGCGGACAGCAACGGTGTGGCGGAACGGATGTTCACGGCGAACAAGGAGCTCACGCAGCAGTGCCTCTCTCTGGAAGATCAGCTGTGGGAGGCCAAGGCGGCCAACACGGCCATGGCGGCGGACCACGCCCTTGAAATGGAGACCCTGGCCAAGGAGATGTGCATGCACCTGAAAGAGTCGAACCTCAAAGTCCGTGAACTCAGGTAAGGATATAAATATTTATAGTCTCAATCATGCGTGTCGTCATGTAGCGCCCATTTGGCGGAGAGCAGAGGCGCGGCGCAACGGATTCTCACGGAGAAGGAGGCGCTTTATGACATCTGCTTCTCAAAGGAAGAAGAGCTGAGGGAGGTGTCAAGGCGGCCATGGCGGAAGACCACGCCCTGGCGAAAGACATGTACATGTACATCGAGGACTTGCATATTGAACGCAACCAACTCAGGTAAAGATATGATCTCAACCTATCTTTATTCTCAAGCATACATGTCGTCACGTAGCGCCGACTTGACGGACACGAAAGAAGCGGCGAGACAAGATGTTGATAGCGAAGGAAGAGCTGCAGGAGTCCTACATCGTCATGGAACGGCAGGTCCGCGCAGCCAATGGCACCAGGCGGCGGACCACGCCATGGAACTCAAGGCCATGACCAAGAACTTGTTGCTGTACATCGACGACTTGCACCTCGAACGCCGTCAACTCAGGTATGACCTCACCCTAGTTGTCATCCTCACTATGGTCACTTAGCGATGACTTTGCGCACGCCGACAAGGCAGCCCAGCGGTGGCTAGACAAGTCCATTGAGCTCCAACACACGTGCTCATCCATGAAACGTGAGCTCCTGGAAACCCACCTCGAAGTGTATTTGCTTCGCCAACACCCGATCCGGGCGTAGGTCGTTATTTATTATTTATTCATAATCAATATTTGTATTTCAAGTTTTGCGATCGTTGGTGGAATCACCGAAACTCGTTACTACTGTAGTATGACCCATCCATAAATCTATCTATACATATCACATATATTCGTACTAAGTTGGCTCTATAGGGTAGTTAATTTGCTTTGATTTTGCACCGAGTATGTATTCTCTGCAGCGTATCCCAAATCATCCCAGCGTCATCGGAGATTATATTGACATGTAATGAAATAAATCAACCTTGTTTTGTATGTTTTTGCTTGTCAAGTTCCGTAATTAACAACTAACTAGTTAGTTCATATTTTGGTACAGCACGACTTGGGATCGGTCCTCCGATATATTTGAACGTTTCTTCCTCCATGTCAGAGGATGTTGTCCACGAGACGCAAGTACAAGTACACCATCATGCCCGGCGTCAACTACGTCAGAGCCCCAACTTGATCTATATATAAATATATGCTCGGATGAATAGTCATTTTAATACTAATATATAGCACACGTTGAAAATAATAAGTAGGAATAACTCAAGATAGGATCGGACGTACCTAAAAGTGTAGAAACAGAGCAATAATAATAGTACACCATTATTTCACTTGGAGCCAATGAGTGGAACCCTGCTTGGCAAATAGTAATCTATTGCCAGCATAGTGAGCGTAATTATTGCCTCCAAAATGCACGAAATATCTAGCCGTACGTTGGTTCGATAGACGGCGACAGCTTGCGGCACTAATTATATCAAAGAGTAAGCAACTAATAAGTCGAAATGGACCCATAGAACTCAAAAGTACCATTAAAAACAGTCAATATGTACTTGACTTTCTGGTCCAGTAGAGCAAAATCAAGCCAAAGTAATTCGTACTAGGTATATACAATTATATATCATAAAGCTAATATACATATGTCTACTATGTATATTAGGTTTATTTTGTAGATGTTTCTATACTTTTGCGTACGTCCGATCCCATCTTGCGTTATTCCTAATATTTACAACGTGTGCTATATATATTAGTATTAAAATGAAAAATACTATGGTGGTAGGTGCTACCCACCTACCACCAGTTTAAACGATTATACATATATATATATAAACGTGTTATTCCCACCAATTGAAATTCGTTTCAATATACTAGTGTACGTATATACTACGTAGTATTCAGTATCGTTCCACCAGCACGTGCATTGAAAATCACATATGCAAACTAATATACCTCAAGTATATGTCATGTCAAATATGAACCCAATGCACTGTCGTCGTTCGTTGCTAAAGTACGACAACTATCTCGGACTTGTCCGAATGTAGCTGCACAGGGCGTTGTCCAGACTTGACCAAGTTTCCACCGATCATGACGGATCCTTATACTAGCTACTACTACGTAGTTACGTAGTACTATGTAGTAATAGTATTTCGAAGTATTGCACTAACAGTAAATAGTAGATTCCACACGACCCTGCCCAATCGAAACTCGCACTGACTGTCGGAATTCGAATCGCGCCGTGACATTTGGTTGGTTCATCTAAAAACTTTTTCACTGATTGGCTAAATATGCTTTTTTGTAAGCCAATCAAATGTCGCGGCGAGGTTGTAGCCAGGTTAGGAAATTCTCAACAACAAAGCTCAATCCAAGCTTGGTTTTGAATGAACGATCATGTAAATACAAAGTCAAGGAGTAGAAATATATGATACTTTTGTAGGGGCTTAATAGCACACTAATACGTAGTACATATTTCAACTGTAAGCTTAAACCGTGCACCATAAACCGTCCCACCTATTTCAGTGGAAATCGAAGTAAATGAACGCTAAGATGAAGCGATTCAAGCCAATTAAATAAGCAGAAGAATGCCCAACCTTTCGGCTTCACGCAGCACTTCTCAGAATTGAAATCCCGGTCATGAGTGACGAATAAGATGCATTCTACGATGAGGTCTCTTTCAACTGCACCATAAATTGGCCATTTACGTTACGTAGTATTGTGGATTTCGTTTCAACGGGGTTTGGAAATTTGTATCGATCTCTCCGCTGTCAATCGAATCACAAATCGACGCTATTGGCTAATCCAATTTTGATTGGATTTGATTGGCTCTTACAGAAATGACAGGTATACAGTAACCAATCGAACTCCAGCGTGATTCAATATTGATTAGACAAACCACGCGAATTTTAGAAGTTTATATATGTATAACGTTAGCGAATTCACAATACTAGTATTGGGCTTTTCAGTCAAATTTGCCCTATTTTGGGGGATTGATGAAATCGCCAACTAATCGAGCAAAGGCGTATGATTGGCTACAAAGAATGAGTTGCAATATGATTGGCTAAAAAGGTTGATTGGTGCGTTGCAGGCACAAACATACCTCTTAAACTTAGTTTTATATACAATTTCGAACGTCCGGTGATTGTTTGGCGGTTCATTCAACCAACCGCAGGAGGAAATTTTGAGCAGAACACACAATGTATTGTGAATTCGCTATAAACTTCCGAAATTCGCGTGGTTTGGCTAATTAAGCAATATTGAATCACGCTGGAGTTGTGATTGGTTGAATGTACTTGTCCTTTCTGTAAGAGCCAATCAAATCCACTCAAAATTGATAGCCAATAGCTTTTCGATTCGGAAATCAGTACCCAATCCAGAAGGAGTTCTACCAAACCGGATAAGCGTTACATGTTATACGGAATCTGGCAGGCGGAAGGACAACCCGAGAACCACGATGAACCGAAGCACGACCACGACGACCACATGCTGGTATGAGATCCTTGGGTTGCCCCAGCTCTCGGACACCGATGCGGTCAAGAAGGCGTTCCGTCAGATGTCGCTGAAGCATCATCCAGACAAGGGCGGCGACGGTATGTATGCTGCACGACATGCCCTTGTCTAACGTGTCATTTGTGTTGTACAGTGGACAAGTTTCACGAGTTGCAGCAAGCCAGTCAGTACCTCTTAGATCCTGCCCAGAAGAAAAGAGTACGATGCCAAGATCTCCCAAGTGACGATGGCGGATCTGCAGAGAAAGCAGCGAGAAGAGAAGATGGGGGCGGAACGCAAGCGGATGGCGGACGACCTGCTTCGACGGGAAACCCAAGAACTCAAGCGACCCAAGCACGTCATCAACGATCTCAAAGCGAAAGCCAGGAAGCACGTCGAGGACATGCAGGTTAAACGAGCACAACAGGCCCAAGAACGCGCGCATTTGCTTGGAAAGGACGTCAAACGCGGTACGATCTCTCCCAACATGTTGCAAACTGATCCACCGACCTTGCTTAGGGGACATCAAGCAACGCACGATTCGCGTGTCGTGGAGCAACAGCAAGGGTTCGCACTCGGACGAAACACTCGTCGCGGCGTTCCGCGAGTACGGCGAGATCGAACTCGTCAAGATGAAAGGTCCGGACTCGGCGCGGATTATATTCGTGAATGCGCTGTCGGCGGTAAATATTTTTTCTATTTTGAATATGAATATTTCATCACGTAGTTACGGTATAATATATGATAGACCCAAGCCGCTCGTATTGAAGGACACAACGACATCACGTGGAGAAAGGTCACGTTGGTGGGTCATGCAGTTCACGAACAAGCGTCTGCCAAGCATCATCACCATCATTCTCATCATCACGACCAACATTCTCATCATCACGAGACCGACGCTGCCAAGGTACAGCTGGAACTGCATCCGATCTCCCCGGCAGAACTGGCGCAGTTTGAAGCTGTTGTGTTTGCCCACTTGAACGCATTATCTCAACGTGGTGTCCCAACCTCCTAAGATAATGGTATATATATATATATATATATATATATATATATATATTACGTACTGTAGTAATAGTTAACGTATTCAAAGATCATTGGCTATCTCATTTTCACGTACCGGTACCGCAATGTTATTATGACTTTTGAGGTGTTTTGCTAGGAAAATGGGACATTAGGACTGTGAAATATGTCTCTTAAATTGGAACTGGACGTTAACTCATTCTGTCGATTTGCATGAATTTTTTTATCTGAAATGACTGACGGATTAATACGTTAATCCAGGGGACAATTTACGGAACATATTTTACAGTTAATAGTAGTACTGACTTGCATATTTTTTGTGCTTATGGGTATAATATTCTGACGTATGTACATTCCTGACAGAATGATACATCCCCAATGGGTTATGTATTTATAGAGCCAATTGTCAATTGATATATATAAAATACATGGGATTAAGGAGAACATGCATTTAAAGAGGTATGTTTACACACATTTCAAGGTGGGTGATTGGCTGAATCCGATGTCCGTTAAATTGTCCCATGCCTCTTAATTTGGACACGTTACATACTCGAACACTTGGTATTATTATAGTAACTATTCTAATACATTATTCATACCAAGTGTAAACAAGTGAAGTAACTATTTTAATAGTTACTAATACCAAGTGTATAATGTTGATCATACCATATTGTTATTGTCGAATCATGTGAGTATACTAGTAGTATACAGTGTGACGATCGCTTAGTACGTACACAAACACAGTGCAACCATCGTTCTCGTCCATGTATTTATACGCGAGAAAACTACACGACGACACTGGGGTGCGCCGGTTGCTGTCGCGAAGACGACCGACCGCTGCCATTGGCGGCATTTGAGAAGGCGAGGTTCGTGATCGTCGACAGGATCGACGCGCCCGCGGACGAGTGCAACGCTTCCAGCGCGCCGGTGGTCATCATCGAGTGCATCTTGGACTTGGCGTCTGCACCAAAATGAGATTGTCCTCTGCGAGATGATGGAGGGGGGGTGGACTACCTTTGCTGCATTTCGTGTACCCGACCACGTTCGCGCCCGACAGCGTCAGGGCCACGATGGCGATGAGCGCCCATTCCACGTTGAACTTGAGCACGGCCACGAGGAGGAATAGCGTCCAGACGCCCGGCGCGCCGTAGAGGGCCGTCCAGAAGATCTTGGCGTCGAGGGGGTCGATCTCGGACATGTCCTCGAGCGACTCGAATACCCACTCGTTGGACCCGTCTTCGTTGATGCGATTCCACCACCGCAGCCCGACGAGGAGTCGGCCCGACACGTTCTTCTCATGGATTAGTTCGAGGGATGGTGATGGGGATGTGATACGTACTTTGACTGTCCAGAAGTCAAACGCGAGTAGCAACACGCAGATGACAAAGATAAACACAAAGCTGTTCGAGACAAACCCACCCAAAATGTACACGCCGAGCGCGAGGAGTTTGAAGAGCAAATGGAACGAGGCTGCCACGGGATGCTTGGCTTTGCGGACCGACTCGGTCACCCCCGACAACCTAGTATGGAAACGTCAGCAACGTCGAATGGAAGCTGCGGCGGCGTACAGGCCAGCAGACGCCGGTACAGCGCGTGGGGAGTTTTCAACCGAAGACGAGGCCGTGGCGGCCCTGGAGCGAGGAGATGTCACTGGGGAGTCATGAGGCTCGGCTGATACATCAATGAACTCGAGTTTCTTGCTCTTGTCTCCCATGCTTCTTGCCAACGGTCAGTCTTTTGCAGCACTTCCGAGAATTTTGCTGCCCGAATGAAGGACGACAGATGTGGAAGCTTATTGTCCGGTTAAAATGAAATTATACGGAAGGCATATTTATATATATATTATAATAATATTTCAACCTGCGAGTAGAAGTCATACGCACTGATATTATTTTATACTAGTAGTACATATTTCGAAGCAGTATACGTCGAATGTACCTTCCTCCTCAGCATACTATTAATAGTAGTAATAGGCCATCTTGAGATTCGTATAACCATGAAGGACTACTACTATCGTTGCAATTCCAAATCATGCTGGTTCTGTCTGCGATCGTGCGAATTGTATTGAGAATGGAAACTTACAGTTAATTGACTGTGAATACCAGTATGGTTGAAAGCGCTTCATCTAAGAAGGTTTATAAATGATTTTATGATATATATTATAGGAAAAATATTGAAATAACAGAGCAGTATGTTCAGTGTTCCTGGTAGTATATTCGAAGTACAAAGATAATATTTTTATATTAGTATTGCATTTGATCGACTCGAAAATAGATAATTCATCCGCCAGAAAGATCGCTACTTATCCGGATATTTCCATGTACTGAGCTTTGTATAGTGCAACTGGGAACACGCACTTCACAACCGACCGCATCGGAGAATTCCCCTGCCCACCCCTTCAAGCATGGCTCGTGACTAGTACGTCGTCCTGCCGCGTATTCAGCCTCCCTCCATGAAGAATGAACTTGACGTCCTTCTCGTAGTGATCATTTGTTTAAGCTGGTGTTGATCGGCGACTCGGGCGTCGGCAAGTCGTGCCTGCTGCTGCGATTCGCCGACGACGCGTTCACAGAGAGCTACATCACGACGATTGGCGTGGATTTTGTAAGTTCAAATCCGTCGTTGACATAGTCCATAACATGTGTATGTCGTCACAGCGCTTCCGAACGGTGAAAATCGACAAGAAGACGGTCAAGTTGCAGATCGTACGTCCATCTCACGCTAGTTCCTCCTCATCCTGTTATTGTCTTCTTGATGCAGTGGGACACAGCTGGGCAAGAACGATTTCGTACGATCACGAGTGCTTACTACCGTGGCGCCGATGGGATCATCATGGTGTACGACGTCACGAGTCAGGTTTGTTACTCTGCTTCATTCGATGTGGATGATGTCCATGTCTTAAGCCCACTTGGTAGGAATCGTTCGACCATGTGAACGACTGGCTGAACGAAGTGAATCGATATGCGAGCGAAGGCACGTGTAAGTTATTGGTCGGGAACAAGAGCGACATGACCACGAAGAAGGTCGTGTCCTTCGAAAGCGCCAAGGCGTTCGCAGACAGCCTCGCCATCCCATTCTTGGAGACCAGTGCCAAGAATGCGCAAAACGTCGAAGAAGCTTTCCTCACCATGGCTTCGGAACTCATTACGATTCGAGAATTGGTCGGCAGTAGTACCACCAAGCCCCATGGCACCACGGTACCCTCACGACATATCTCTTCCTGACCAACCATGGGTGATTGACTGATGGCACATGTGTAGCTCTCCAACGACTCCGCCAAGCAATCGAACTCCAACTCGTGCTGCAATTAGGAGCTTGCTGCGAACGCTGGCAGTGTACACCTTGAGGCACCCTTTTCCTATTGTTTAATCGACTGAATATTCGTCCATAATGTCCATTCTCGTCGATAAAGCAGCGTAATTGAGTCATATGTGGAAGGATTTTGCAGTTTCCAAGTTATCCGGATGTGGTTTGAACTGAAAAATGGGGGTCATACGGATAACGACATATTATCCGGAATTTCAAGGTTGAGGGTGTGTGTGTTGTGGGCATTCAAATTCAAAATGGAAGCAGCTGTCCTGAAGCTTGGGCACCCGCTGGAAGAGATCCGCCTGCGGTCCTTACGAAGCATCCACACGAAGATCACCATGGGATTGTGGCCGCATCCCCATAAACTGCCTGTGAAGATCCAACATCTGCTCATGGAACTGCTTCCATCCCTTGCACCCGACTACTCGCCAGCCCAAGACATCTTGACCCAGTTGCAAGCTGTCAACACGACACCCCATTCCACTGAAACAAAGTGTGCCCTCAACGCTCCTCGTACACCTGCACCTCGTGTAGCTCCCACCGATCGACCCATGGGCGGCAAGTCCATCGAAGCGACCGTCGCTCCGCCTCGGCCAGATGTCCCATCTAGCGTCCAATCCGGGTGGACGTTTTCTCATGTCCAGCTGTGTGATGCAGACGACCAGCTACTATTTGAGTTCGAAGTGAAGCTGAAAATGCACGGCAATACGAAGGAAGGCCTTCGCCTGTTCATAGAGTTTGGCGAGACGGTGCTGCGCGACTTCCCCGCTGAAGTGTTCCTGCAACGCCCGGCCATTCTGCAGTACCTGCTGCATCTGTTACAGCTTCCCCTGATCGAACTCAACCAGCCCCCACCATCCACATCATCGTCTTCGTCGTCACCTTGCTTTGGTGAAGTGTTCTTCGGGTACACATCCGCGCGGAACAATCGACGGCGCCATCCCGACAGCGCGCTCTTCTTTGTGCTTTTGGGGCTGCTTGAGGATCTCGTTGCTGGCCTTTCCAAGAGCTTTCAACTGCACATGGACGCGTCCTACCACTCGCAAGTCGTCATATCCCTTTCTCGGTCGAAACCACCACCACCACTGTCGTCATCGCACCCTCTGCCGTCCTACCCCTGTGCTGGCCATCCTCGTCGCGATCATGGCGGCATCGCTTGGTCGTACAGTGGCGCCATGTGCCATGTTTTCAAAGCCGTGGCTTCGCTGCTGACCCGCCCGTTGGTGCCGCGTCTGCACGTCCTCGGCCTGTTGCTGCCGCTCATCGACAGCTTGCGCGACGTGTCGGCCGCGACCGACGCCATCGACTCGTTTGAGTCGGATCGACTGGCAGAGTGCTTTGCGGTGCTTATGGACGCCCTCGATAATTCCACGAGTCCCGACGACCACCCATCTGCCACCACTGTATACTACTATACGTGGCAAGTGCTGGTGCAAATGCTCACATCTATGGGCACGTCCAACCTGGTGCTACCTCCTCGCCTACTGCAAACAGTGCAGAACGTTGTGTTTGACCAAGCACTGTATGAAGTAGCTCCGTCTTATCGGCACAAATTGCTGCCTATAGTCGTCGGTGTGAACCCCCACATCGAGAACTTACTCGAGCAGCACATTGCCACGATGGATATCGTCAAGAATTGGCCAGCGTTCGTCCACCACGTCGACCAAGTCGTTGAAAATGACCAAGATGTTGAGGACAATCAACTCCCCCAACAAGCCCTGGCGATTCTCTCCGTGCTCGACCACGTCCGCCCCATCGACGCCAGCCTCGCCGTGCTGACCGCCGCCGCCAAAACGCTGCGCCTTGTCACAGACGACGACAAGTTGTTCACAAACTTGCTCTCGGCGTTGCTGTTGGCCCGCCACGGCGCGAAAACGTCGTCGCATTTTCAAGACGTGGCCATATCCTTGGAGGCGTCAAGAAGCCCCGCCGCCGTCTTCGTTCCCGCTTCCATCGTCGTGTGCGTATGCCGCCTCCTAGTAGACACCCTCCCCCCCCAACTCGACTCGCTGTGGCGTATATTGAAACATGTGCTGCCATCCGCAGACCAGTCGGCGGTGCCCTTCCTGCAGCACTGGGCGTACGCTGATACCCCGCAGTCGCCCGCCCATCAACACATGCAATCCGTGCTCGCGGCCAAGCTGCGCGACATGCAAGGGGACTTTGCCCAGAGTGTGGTCGGGATGGCCAGGTGCTTACTGCACACGTCCGAGTTTGTGCGGCGGTCGGCGTCCGTGGGCCTCGCGTCGGCCCTAGTCGACGACTGTTGTTCGTACGTGGAGCAGCGGGATTGGATGGTCCAGCCAGAGTTTACCCCGGGCGACCCGTTTCACGACCTCCTCACTCCTCTACGGCACCATGTCGCCACGTTCAAGCTCCCATGGCATGATCATCCATCACCGCCTTCGACTCTACCGCCACTACATCAGAACAACCAGCAGAACGTTGTCGGAAACGTCCGCAAGTTGATTGCGATCCTCCAGTCGCCGTCGCTCGAGTGGACGATCAAAGAGTCGGCGCTCCATCAAATGATTCAAACCGTGGATCGACTTGTGACATCTTCCTCCTGTGACGACGTCGTGGTCGTGGTGCCGTGCTTGATCGATGCGGTCGTGCCGTTTCTGGCCCATTCCAACGCCAAGTTTCATCTGCTGCCACTGGTACTAGTGCGAGATCTATTGAGTGTATCCCCCGACGTCCGCCAGCTAGTCCGGTCCAACCACAACAACATCCTGCATGTCCTCTTGCCGTTCGTGTACTCACCACAGACCGATGTACGCGCATGTGCGTACTTTGTCGTGCTGGTTCTCACCTGTGCGCCCGAAGTATGGGGCGAGTCGCCGCTATGGATGCACCTCCCGTCCATGATCACATCGACCTTTGGCTTGCATGCGGCTACGCTATGGCCATCCATCAAAGTACCCTCAACACCTACTACTACTCCCATATCGACCACCCCATCATGTTATGATGACGACAACAGAGAAGTCCACGTCCTCCACCACTCCCCTCGAGACTTTGTGGCCGCAGCCATCGACGCCGTGAACGCCGCCACTTCCCATCGACAGTACCTCCACGCAATGTATCAGTTGACTTGTTTGGCGCGGGTGGACGCTTCTGTCGTGGGCAGCGCCATCTCGACGCAGTTCGAGTCCAAGGCGCGGTTCCTGCAGTGTCTGCACACGATTCCCACGAGTTGGCGCGACCAAGTGGTGCTCGCGTCGCTCTTCCACGTCCTCGCGCTTGTCGTCCACCACATGGACATGTCCGCGTTGATGTACATTTTGATTGCGATCAAATCGAACGCGATCCTGCCCTTGTTTACCCGTCATCCCACACATCAACAACAGTACGGCGGCGGGCTCCACGTCAAAGTCCTCATGCTGCTGCTGTCGATGGCCCGTTGCAAGGACAAGGGCTTGGTTGAGTTTATAGCGGCGTTGGTACTCGACACTGCCCTGCACGACCACCTCCGAGCTGTGTTTATCCTCGGAGATGACCGCCCGGCGCAAGTGCTGAGTCTCCAGCTATTCGAGTCCGTCACGTCTCAGTCGTCCATGCTAAGTCCATGGAGTACGAATGAGTTGGCGCCGACGCTTGGTCAACTCGTGGGTGGTGGGGAGTCTTCGTGTATCGTGTACTCGAGCGCCTCGTTTGGCGGCAAACACGTCGTGATGTGGGCTCTGTCGTGCCTACTGACCACCCACTCGTCGTTTTCAACAGCCATGTCCGCCAATCGGTTCGTGTTCGACCGCGATGCCCGCGTCCGCGCCATGGGGTTCCGCCTCCTCCTCCTGAATGACCCGGCGTTCATAACGCTGGCCAAAGACGCGGTGGTCGACTCGACCGAGTGCGCCGCCGTCCGAGTCCAAGCGGCGCATTACCTCGTACGTCAACATGTTCAAGATGCCGACTTCGCTGCCAAAGTGGCGGCGGCGCTGACGGACCAAAAACAGCGGACTTCCTTCTTTCTCTCGCCCGAGTTTGTGCTGGTTTGCGCTCGACTGGTGCCGCCAGCCATTTCTACGACTGAGCTGCTCAAGGTTAGTCAGTACACACCCTGTGACACTGTTGTGCCAACGTTCAAATCAAAACGGATGCTATGGGTGCATTTCACCCAAATGTGGACTCGAGACGCTAAATAGCTTTTTTCGAATCTCTATTCGAGTTGTATTTCATCTTGTATATTCACTATACTATACAAAGATTAGTAGTAGGATATATATATATATGGTTTTGCCAATGCGAAAAAGGACTGTGTTATTGAGTCAAACGTTTGGATTGGCAGAATAGATTCGACATGACGTGATTTGATTGGCTCAGGCGGTTCTTGAATCGATTCTCTAATAGACATTCGATGATTTTGCTGTTTCGAATCGATTTGACAATATATATATATATATATATAGATTGCTTGAAGAATTCCGATATTGTTTTCGTATGGTATTATGAATTGATGGGGGATGGTTGTGGTGGTGTAGTTTACGTCGTTGGGGTATCACCGTGAAATGTACCGACGAGCGTGTGAAGTGGTCACTGGCATTTCCATGTCGGAGACGCGGCAAAGCAAGAAAATAATCGCAGTAGCGTTTCAGGTATATATATATATATATATTATATATATATATGATGTCTAAATTAAATGAACGTGTATAGAACACGTGGCAGACTGTGCATCAAGGACGTGCGATCCAATGCATTGGAGAGATTCTGACAGGACTCGACCCAGTGAATTCGACGCTCCTTCCGCACCTGCATGAGATTTACGCCTTGACCGACGACTCCATCGAGTACGTCCACTTGTTGGGGGCGGCCATGCGCGTTTTGTGCCGATTGCTGGATCAACTGTCCACTATCGACCAAGTTGAAGAACTCACGCTCGTAACCAAACTCGTGGAGATGGTGCACACGGATCGTTCATTGCTGCCAGCGTGCCACGTCATACACTGTGTACGTTTGTATATATTTTAAACATATCCTATGGTTGTTGCTGTGGTTCAACATAGCTGTCGAAGCACTCGACGTGGAAGCGCGTGGTCCAGAACGCGCAAGGAGAGGCCATTGCCGACGCACTCATGGCGATCGTAGCTGACAAGCCCAGCAACCATGTACCGCAAGTGGCGTTGGCTCTGCAGAGTCTGTTTGAAGCCCACGAAAGCCGCTTTATCGATCGAGCAATGGACACTGGATTCGTACGCCATTGCTTGACGCAGTTAACTAGTCATTTGTCGTTAACGACGGACGAAATCGCATTATATTGCAACTTGCTGCGATCGTTATTGGGCCACCACGTCCAAGCCAAGCAACTTGCACAAGTACGTTCGTTCATTGCCTGTATGAATGTATGATAGATACTATATATATATATATATATATATTGTGGATAATTTGGTACAGATTTCCACTTGTATCGAATAATGTCGAATAATCGAATCACGAGTCGAAACGCTATTGGCTACTCGAATTTTGAGTGGATATATTTGATTGGCTCTTACAGAAAGAACACATACATTCAATCAATCAGAACCAACTCCAGCGTGATTCCATATTGCTTAATTAGCGACTTTTGGACATTTCTAGCGAATGAATTCACACGATAAATAACTTTTTTATGTTAACTATGACATTGCATAGAGGTTCAACCTGCCTGGCATGTTGTCGTCCATGTGGCCTCGGATGATAAAGCATCAATCCGACCCGAATCTCGTGGAAACGTGGTTGCACTTGCTCAACAACTACGTGTACAACGACCAATCAGCTAAACAATCCGTCGTTGGCAGTAGTAGTACTCCCCCCTCTCCATTGAGTTGCTTGAAGCAGTTACTCGACCACGCGACATCAGTAGCCACGACGACGATATCCCATGCTCGGTTGACATTCTCCGTGTTAAGGTCCGTGTTACTCAACCCCGACTGCGTCTTGGCGTGCATCAAGTATGGGTACGTTGCCAAGTTGATGGGCATCGTCGGAACCCTCGTGTACAAACATCAAAAGAACAAGCGAAACAATCCATGCGACAGCGTTGTTGCTCACGTTGTCGCAGTGGTTGCAAACGTCTCGTTCTCGCCGGATGGACGTGCGGAAATCTGCCGGTACGGGGCACTAAAAGACGTGCTGACCGACCTCTTGGCCACGCCGTCGTTGGCACTGCCGACTGCATTGTTGCTGCGAAACTTGACGTTCACGTCGATCGCCAAGGCCCAGTTTGTGCAGTGGAAACCCATCATGGCGTCGTTGCTGGTGTTCTTGAGCCACGAGAATCCGTTCGTGAGCAACTTTGCCAGCACGGCCGTGTGGTCGCTGCTGCACAACAACCAAAAAGCCACGACCCACGTCGTCGAGTTGGATTGGTCGACCCATGTGACTGATGCCACTGTGTATTTAACCCAAGGTACGATATATATATATATTGTGATATAAACATCCAAAAGTCGCGCGCGGTGTTTGTCTACTCTAGTGATCAATATTGAATCACGCTGGAGTTCGTTCTGATTGGTTGAATATATTTGTTCTTTCTATACGAGCCAATCAAATCCACTCAAAATTGGAGTAGCCAATAGTTCGTTCTGATTGGTTGAATTTATATCTCCTATCTATACGAGCCAATCAAATCCACTCAAAATTGGAGTAGCCAATAGCGTCCATTTGTGATTCGATTCGACGGGGTCTGGAAATCTGGACCGAAACCACAATATATATATATATGTATTGTATTTAATGATATTATCGTTGGATATTTATAGCCCTTGCGCAAACCAGCAACGAGAGTGACCGCGTGCTCCTCTCGCAAGCCCAAGCCAACTTGGAGCGCATCTCGCAGCTGATTGAATGCAATAACGCTGACAAAGATGACCAATTGAAACCTCTGGACCGACTGGCCATCTCACTCAACACCAAGTGTGTTCGCCGCGACTCTACCAAGAACGAACTGTCCCGTAGCAACTAGAAACTAATGTTAATTTAATCTACAATTCGAGTCCAAGTTGGCGTCGATTGTAATTTTCAAACTCCTGTTATATGTACGTTCTACTTTGAAGCACTTATTATTATATATCCGCTATATATATATATATATAACTACGAAAATTCGCGTGGTTTGTCTACTTACAGTTAATATTGAATCACGCTGGAGTTCGTTCTGATTGGCTGACTATACTTGTCCTTTCGAGCCAATCAAATATATCCACTCAAAATTGGAGTAGCCAATAGCGTCGATGATTCGTCATTCGATGGGGTGTGGAAATTCGTGCCGAATCCACAATATTGCTTGCTGCACATCTTTCCAATGACAATTCACAGTTTAAAGCGACGAAATCCTCATATTTACATCATCATGATTCTATCTCGCCGCGCCGCTTCGCTATATATAGCTACTGTAGCTCACGTTTTAGGCTAAAAATATACCCCCTTGGGCTATTCACTGTGAAAGTCGGCATCTTTCGTTCACGACTGCTGCTGTGACCAGCCAGCCACCATAGCGCTTCCCCGCGTCAAGTTTGATTCGTCCAGCGTGGCCAGCGACCACGAGGACTTTATCGACTCGCCCACCTCGTCTTCCCCGTCTTCCCACAGCAGCGGCGGGATCGTCCAGTCCAAAATGGCATCTAGACAGCAGCCGCCTCCGCCCAAACCCAAGCGCAACTACCAGCAGCCCCCCGACGACGACCACGATGCGATCGAATCAGACGACGCGTACGCAGCCCCCATCCAGCCCCGGCGCGGCCGCAGCACCCGCGCGGCTTCGCAGTCCCCTCCGTCGTCCCCACAGTCATCCCGCCACACCGCCGTGGCCCCTCTCAAGAGCGTGGAAGGGGAAGCTGAGACGACGATCGGCGCCGCCGTCAAGATGAAGGGCGAGCTCTCGTTCGAAAGGCTGCTGCGCATCGAAGGCGAGTTCGAAGGCAAGCTCGTGTCCAAGGGGTCGCTTGTGATTGGCCAAAAGGGCTTGCTGACCGGCAACATCGACGGCATGAAGGAAGTGCTGGTCGCCGGCGGCCGCGTCATTGGAAACATCACCGTCGAACGCCTCGTTCTGCGCGACAAGGGCCAGATCTTCGGCAACGTGACGGCCAAGAGCATCCGGATAGACCCCGAGTGCATCCTCATGGGCACCCTCAACGTCAACCCCCACGCCCCCCAGCGCATCAACTTGAAGGGAGAGCCGGTTGTGGAAGAGCCCAAGCCTGTGGCCCCCGCGACCCCCGCGACCCCGCAACCACCCCCCGCCTAAACAGGTGATATGTACTACTACTTAAGTAGTTACTACATACTATCTAGCGTCACGGACCCCCTGCTGTACTATATAATCAACAACATGACGTACTGGATTCCATTATCTCTATTGCTTTGTACTACGTAGCAGTCGCCTCACCTTGTACTAGTTAGTACCTACAGCATCTACCCTTCAAACAAGGTCTCCTACTAGTACGACGAAATGGCATACCTTCGTCCTATGCGTTTACTCGTGTATAACCGAACACTGCTCTTGATCCACTGACTAAAACACCATTGACAGGCTTTCATATATTGTGCATTATTAGGTTACCCATATTGTAAGTATGTACTACAGCACAATCCCCTTGTGAGGACTTTATAGCACGGTGAATGGCGGCGGCATCTAGATGGACGGAATCCCCGCCGCGCGCAGCTTGGCTTCAAGGGTCTGGAACTCGGACTCGTTGACGGCCTTGACGTCCTCGTCGTCGACGATCTCTTCGATGCCGCGCACTTCGGGGATGTAGTGCATGAGCATGTTCTCGACGCCGTTCTTGAGCGTCACGGATGAGCTGGGGCAGCCAGCACAAGACCCGGCCAGCTGCAGCTTGACAATACCTCGGTCTTCGTCAAAGCCTCTGCACAGTGTCATACATGTGAGACGACGTCGGTAGGATGGCGACGTGTACCGAAAGAAGATGTCGCCGCCGTCGTCTTGCACGGCCGGACGGATGCGCGTTTCCAGCAGCTCCTTGATCATCGCCACGACTTCGTCGTCCGTGTCCAAGATGGTTGTGTCCTGATGACATGCATGAGCATGATGATGGTCCCATGTGATATGAGTACCGTGATCACATCTTCGTCCGTCATGATGGGCTTCCCCGACGCGTAAAAGTCCATGATCGTTCCAAAGATTTGGCCTCGGAGTACCTACATGTCTATGCATGAGTCAAGGGAACATGGAGGTAGGTAGGAACGACTCGTACATCCCAGTCGATGTCGTCGTTCTTCTTGGTCACAGAGATGAAATCCTTGCCAAAGAACACGCGGACGATGCCGTCGATCGCAAACAAGTCCTTGGCAAGCAGCGAACGGCGGAGCTCTGGGCCCTTGGGGGTGAAGTCGACGCCCGTGGAGAAGCGGTCATCGAGGACCGCGCGCCCCGGAATAAACTTGAGACTTTGCGGGTTCGGCGTCGTCTCGGTCTGAATAAACATGTTGCGCACCGAGACTACAGCATTATTGTCGTGACTTTCTATGGCGCACCAACATGGTCCAAGTAGGTACCTGTGAACAACGAAGGACGACGGACGTTCTTCTTGGCGAACGACGATCGAACCAACGGTGACGATGACGACGAAGGCACGTGGATAGAGCGCACGGACGGCGCAGCGTTGGCTAAGGCCGCCGAGGCCATGGATGGGACACGAATCTTGGTGGCTTGATGCAGGCGCAACACATTCCGGCAGGTTCGGTGCATTCTGCTTCGACGATGGCGAAAGAGCACCAGCGAATATGGCAATGGTTCAGTTCACCTGAACCGTGGTTCATGGGATATCCGGATATCACCAAGGCGAATTAACCGGATGTGTGTCGTTTATCCTTCGCATCGCGATCTTGGACGGTTGCTCAGTTGGCATTCTCTCGTGGATGTGGAAGAACGTGTTCAAGAAGCGGATGTCGAAGGGAGCCGCCGACGCTGTTGCGACACCAACGGCCATAAACCAAGGGAAGGAGCATGCAGAGGTATCGGTAGATGTGGAGAAACCAGTGCAAGCTGCAGACTCGACGATGACACCGCGGCACGACGACGTGTCTCCTGAGAGCTGCGACGACGACGGGCTTTATGTCGTCGCCAACTTCACGGGACTCATGGTATTGCAAGGCGCGACGGAGAAACGACAAATTCGATACGTGATGGAGATCGTGTGTCCCTCCACCCGACAGAAATGCGAATGTGTCAAGCGCTTCGACCAGTTCATCGACCTCCGCCACCGTGTTATGGACACCCTCAAGCAATGCCGCAGCAAAACATGCTCCAAATGTGTGGGCATCGCGGCTGTCATCCACGCGCAGCCGTTTCCTGGACGCCACCTCTTTACCACACTGCATCATGTCCGAGACCGCGCACTCCCCCTGGAAGCGTTCTTGCAGTGTATTTTGGACAGCGCTTTCACGTGGAAAGGATGCAAGCGAGCCAGGCACGCGTTCAGCCAGGTCGTGGGTCAGTTCGTGGGCGTGCCAGTCGACTGCATGGTTTCGAATCGGTCGAACGGCGATCGACCGCCGCCGTTGGACTTCCGCAAGTCCATTCGCCATCTCATGGTGGAGCGCCAAGAATCTGTCGGTGGCGGTACTATTGTAGGTACAAGCGACGTATCGTCGTCGTCGCCCATCATGCCTGAGGTTGTGAGTGTCGCCGCCTCGTTTCCAGAAGACATGGAGGACGACAACGAGCAGAAAGAGGACGAAGGGCGCCCCGACACCATCGAGCCAGCTACGCCAATCATCTCCACAGATGAACCTGTCAAGGACACTGCCGACGACGAAAGCGATGACCGCATCGAACGTTCCTAATACTATTAATACTAACGTTACACCAGTTTTTCTCTCAACTTTGTTGACGAGTCTTCAAAACGTGGAGTATCAGTACTATTAATAACGTTATCAATAAAGTATGTGATATGTGTATTAACGTTTTAATATATAATTCAAATCTCATTTTCAAGAAAGCCTCTTTGGTCTAGTGGTATGATTCCTGCTTAGGGTGCAGGAGGTCCCGATTTCGATCATCGGAAGAGGCCATACTTTTTCTCTCATTTTCGCCAAAAGACACTGTGGATGTGTTTACGACGATAACGTTATTCTAATTTGATCACAGTACTACGATGGGTCACCGTTTAGACTTGATGAGGCTCGTTAGCCGGTTTGATGGTATATAGTGTGCATTACTATTGATATCCTTGAGCGGTAGAATGATGCATCGATATATTCTTTCACGAGTGTATCGACCCCGAGTTTGCGCGGCTGGCCAAGATCTGACCCACGGCCGACTGTGCGACATCGGGTGCCGTCGAATCTTCCGTACCAACTACTAGTATATGCCAGCCGAGCAGACCGCGTGACTTCGTTGTCAAGTTATCAGAATTCCACTTGAATAGCCAGTGGGCGGGTGATGTACGGGGGGATCTATTGCTAACTTTATAACGAAGCCAGAAACCTCCAATTTCTTTGGCCATGCAGTACATCTCCGTTGAATGCGTGGCCACCAACATGGGGGCCACACAACGCCCGTGCCCCTTGTTCGAGAACAACGTCATGTCGTGGTCTGCGATCAATCTCCTGTGGCGGCCATGTTCAACCCGTCGACAAGCTTATCCAGAGCTCAAATTCAAACGGTCGGATGACCCTTCACCGCAGTACGCAACGAACGCCTTGCTGGATTGTGCTGCGAGTGAAGGGGTCCTCGTAGGATCAAATAAGACCATAACGACATTGCGTGGATGATGCACGTGGGGCCGCATTTCGCCCAGGCCGTGGACCTCAAGTATCGGGTGTGGAATCCTCAGTACAGTCGGTTTCTGCACTTAGATTGGAATTGTTGTCGAGGGGCACCCACGGACGATGCCATGTGTGGTCGCTGAGCCTCAAAGCGGCTAACGGCTAGCAAAACAACTCAAAAACAAATGTTATCCGGATACTGACGCCACATTATCCGGATGCATTTGCCTCCACGTGGAGTGGCGTATTCCAAGCTAAAAGCGACGATGCCGATTCTGACGTTTATTGCGCGGGTGTCCGATGGGATGCTCCTGGTATGTGCTTCTGAATGGACCGTCTGATATGGAGAGATTAACCTCACGTGATTCCTAGGTGGCGTCCATGGAATCCGCGGGAGACTACAACGACAACTTGGACACGTACAAACAGCAGGTTGGGTCGTACGATTATGATATGACCCTGACATGCAACGGCATAGGGCAAGCAAATCTTGAAGAAACTCAACCAGCGCTCGCCTGGGAAATGCAGCATTGATTCCGGCGCGTATGCATTCCAGTACGTTATCGATCGATGTCCCTTGGCATGATTTGACCGTCCTTGGTGTTGCAGCTACCTCATCGAAGAGGGTGTGTGCTACTTGACCCTCTCGGACAAGAACTACCCCAAACGTCTGGCGTTTCTGTACTTGGAAGATATCCACGGCGGCTTTATCGACGAACTGCGTCGTGATCACGGCGACAAGTATGTCTATCACTCCATCGTCTCCCTACCTCGTCACTTGTTTCTCACTTGTCATCATCTAGTTGGCGCGACACCGTCACGACTGTGGCGCGGCCGTATGCGTTTATCAAATTCGGTGTGTCTCCCCCTCTTCCTCCATCGTCGCCTTCTTCGTCTTATCGATCCTATGTCCAGACAAATACATTCAAAAGAAGCGAAAGGAGTACACGGACCCCAGCTCATCTCAAAACATGTCGAAACTCAACAACGACTTGGCCGATATCCACAACGTCATGCGCCAGAACATCCAGGAAGTGCTCAACCGCGGCGAGGCCATCGATCGTACCCCCTCCTCCATCTTCGTCCTTATCACGTTGCTGAAGTCCGTCGTAGGTGTGTCCCAGATCTCATCCAACATTGCCGACCGGTCGAAGGAGTTCAAGTGGGGCGCCAAGAAGCTCAGTCTGCAGGTACACTCTCGGATGTTTCTTCGAGGATGGTACTGAGATGATGGTGGCTAGGCAATGTATCAAAAGTATGGACCACTTGTAGCCATCGCATTGTTTGTCGTGCTGGTGGTGTACTTCAAGTTCTTTTAAACAAGTTACTCGTTTACAATGAACGCATCTTGTCCCCAATATGATTACTATTCACGACTGGTGTACACATACTAGTACCCCCCTCGTGCACAGTGTGACTTTCAACAGTGTCACATGTCCTTGAGATGCTGTTTGTCCTTTCAGATATACCGGCCAGCATAAATATATACTTAAAAGCCAATGATTTCGATCTTGGACGACCCATGTGGTTGTTCCATGTACGGCGGCGTGTTGGTCACGCCATAAGCTGAATATATTTCATTCACATCAGCTTTTCGCAATATATATATATATATATCGCCAAATGGCCAAGATGGAAGAGAGGTACGATATGGAGATTATCGACATGTAACGCAATAAAATCAGCCTTGTTTGGTACGTTTAGAAAAGTGCAGCTTGCACAATCAAGTTCCGTGGATAAAATGATATATATATACTAGTATATATATATATATATATTGTGAATTCGTTCTAAATATATCCAAAACTCGTGTGGATTGTCTAATCAATATTAAATCACGCTAGAGTGTTCTGATTGGTTGAATATACTTCTATACGAGCCAATCAAATCCAATCAATATTGGATTAGCCAATAGCGTCGATTCGTGATTCAACTGGGAAATGAGTACTATATCGCATCCACAATGCACCTAGTTCTTTGGGTACAGCACGTAGTCGACGAGTTTGACGTGGGATCGGTCCTCCGAGTTGAGTTTGCGGTCGAATGTTTCTTCCTCCATATCGAAGCGCAGGATGTTGTCCACTCGACTCATCTTGGGCTTCCAGTAGCTTGGCACCTTCCATTCATATGACGGCGCCAGCTTATGTCCCGTGCCACTCCACGCTGGGTCGCTACGTCTAGCATGAAGAGAGGAAGGGAGGAATATGGAAGGTACCGACCGGATCCATTTCGTGGGCATTTTGTCCACCCCCAGTGCAAACATCTCCAAGTCGCCGTTGGGTTTGATATGCAGGCGAAGGATGTTCTTGTAGCTGGCCACACGAAGCGCCGAGAACGCTTCGTTGTAGTGGCTTTTGAACACATTTACTGCCAAGTACAAGTACACGCCCACAATGATGCCTGACAGCGGTGTCGCCTATGCAATTTGATTAATATATATATATATGCTCGGATGAATGATTTTGTCATATTAATATATACCACACGTTGGACGTATTATGAATAACGCAAGACGGGATAAGACGTACCGCGACCCAAAAGTATAGAAACACCGAGTAATAGTACACCAATACTTCACTTCGAGCCAACGAGTGGAACCCTGCTTGGCAAATCTATTCGCGGCATAGTGAGCGTAATATATTACACCAAAATTCACGATATATCGCGCCGTACGTTGGTTCGATAGATGGCGACAGCTTGCGGTACTATGTATACCAAAGATTAGGCAACTAATAAGTCGAAATGGACCCATAGAACTGAAAAGTACCATCAAAAACAGTCAATATGTACTTGACGCAGGCCGAGTAGAGCGGGATCAGCCCAAAGTAATCGAACGGTCGCAGCAGCTGCACCATGTCGGGGACATGGAGCTGGTAGTACTGGTACAACGCATCTACACCACCGTCGTGCCCCCCCAAAGCCCCCCTTAAAGTACACATTACGACCAAATGATATATACTAAATATATATATCCGGGTTGCACAGACCGATCGGATGCCGCTTGGAACATGGATTCGAACGCAATGAGCACACTGAATGCGGCCATGCTGTGACAGAGCGACGCTGCGACGCTGATGACCAGGCGCTTGGCAGACGAAGTCGAGTCAGCAAACAGCCAGTGGCCCACCACAAGACCCAAAAAGGTCGCCAAGCTCAAGTAGGACGTCGTCAGCATTTGATAGTGCACGGTCCACAGGTCCGCCACAAAGTTCACAACCACGTCCGTCCACTCGGCATTCTACAGACCACGAATTGTAGTAGGTACAGTAGTACTACTACTAGTACGCCTAGGAACTAAGTACCTCGTAGATTTGACCCACCGAGCACCGCGGAAACATGGAAAACGCGAGGAAAAAGTACTACACATGGGACCACGTGAGTTGTATATACAATATATATAATAAACCTAATATATATATTATGATACTTCAAAATAAACCTGATATATATATATTTTGTTTATTTTGCAGTCACATTTGTACAATATAATAGGACTATTTCGAAGTCATACATATACGACATATATTTTGTAGTCATATTTCAATTGACCGACGTACCCCCAACCCCCCGACAATGTCAAAGCGCCAATTGCGACGTCGAAACCCAAGGATGTTGAGCAATGCGTAGCGCCTACCACCAGTTTAAATATATATATGTGTTATATCCACCAATCAATATTCGTTTAATATATATATATACAGCATCGCCCACCAACACAGGCATTGAAAATCGCATAGGCAAACTAATATTGTCAAGTCGATTCGAAATTGGAGTGGGTTTCTCAATCGAATGAGCAGCACCAAATCGCAGGCAGACAACATCGATCAACCAATCAAAACCCAGAACACGAATCAAGTAGCCAATGAAATTATCCACTCTTCGACCAATTCAACATCTAATTAGTGTGAGACTGAAATTGGTCTGACACTGGACGAATTTTACATACAAAAGTCAAAGTATCGAACGATAGATTTGGCGAATTAGCACAAACGTCCAAATTTATTGGGTCAACCACACAATCGAACACACCGGCACACTTTTTCCGACGGGTAGCACGACGCACGCGTGTAGAGGCGATGGGATGCGACTAAATTGTCTCCGCTGGGCACGTGGGTCGGATGCAAGAAGGCGCCGCCACCTCCCGACACGATCAAATGCACGGGCGCAGCTTCCGCCTTGGATGAAGGCGATGTGGACGGAACACCAGAAGCGGCGGAGCAGTTTGATCTGTCAGGGGAGAGCTGGATGGGGTTGATAGTATCGTGGGAGTTCATGTGCGGAAAGTGTTTGGTCACGGGCGAGAACGGCGACAGCGACGGCACCTACTCCACCATACAAATCATACAGTGTCCTCATCATAACCGAGTATGTCAAAGCCACCAAAAGGGCTGAATGAACAGAATAGCACGACAACGTCATACGTTTTCAGAGGTCGTCTGGACCGACAGCTTGGAAGGAGCAGGTGAAGGACGCTGCTTCTTGGCAGGCACGGACACGTGGTTAGACTCCACGAGAGAGTGCCGGGTGTAGTTGTGAATATCCCCCGCCAGCCTAGAAAAATCATCATATATATAACTCACCAGCCCATGAAAATTAGAGGTAATCTTCACACGAAAACAAAAAGTACCACATATTCCTGACATCATCTAGAACCTTGATATTACACTGTTAACGCATATATTATATATAGATATAATTCGAGGGACAAATATCCCATTATTCTATCATGATATAGTACGTACCGGACGACGACGCGGCCCTTGAGGATGGACGTGATGAGGTACTGCAGCTTCTCTTCGCTTTTATTGCCTTCGTACGCGTCCAAGATCCAACTGGGCTCGTGGGTCACGACGATCACGCGATCGGATGGACCCATGTGACGCTCCACGATCGCCTCAAAACATGCAAACTGCTCGACGTTGATGTCGTGCTCGAGCGCCAAGTCGCACCCCAACACCCACCACCCGTGGGGCAACTTGAGCGCAAAGAAACTCGTGTCTTGGGGCAGGTGCCACCCGCCCAGCCAATCCCGTTCGCATACAAACCGACTGTACGTGTTCAATCCGTCAAACCAGTCGTGGTTGCCTACATATTATAGATATTAAATACCAAGTCGAGAAATATATATATATATACCCTATGCACGAAAATAGAAAACGATAAATTTCACGAAACATAAACACATACGATATGGAACAATATAATATAAATCATCACCAATTAAAAATATTTTTTTTAAATATATAGATAAATAGAGTTTTCCACCTTATAGATATGACGTACCCGGAATAGCAAAACATGTGGGGCCAGCGTATTCTTTCAACAATTTACACGGGGGAGGCAGCGCTGGTTTCTTGGTCGACACGGCCGCGGGGTCATACCAGATCGGAGGCTTCATCGCGTACTCAAACGGACGCCAAAATCGGGACTATAGTAAAGTGTACGAAAACGTGATCTCACAAAACTCACTTTGGAGCTGCCTTGTCAAACCAGAGAGCACCTAGTAATACTAGTAGTTGGAATAGTACCCACCTCGTACGAGTCCGCGTCGGGGTGCGGGTACGCCAGGTCACCGCCCAGCACGATGCAGTCCCCGCGCGGCAGCGTGAGCGCCCCACCGGCCTCCCGCGGGAACTTGGAGTTGGACAATGGCACGTTCACCTTCAAGTGCGGTTGCGCCAACATGCGCGCGATCTGGAAGCTGCTGTTGAACCCGTCGCCGCAGTCCGCCATGAAGTCAAACCAGAGCTCGTCCTTGTGCGCCAAATGGTCAAACATGTAGTCCTAGTACATATCATTGTAATAATATATATTCCAAGATAAGGTATATGTGTATAAATGATGAATGGTACCTTGTAGTTTGGATGCAGGGCAGCTTGCATCGTCCGCTTGTCGAAGCGACCGAGGAAGATTTTCAGTGAAATCAATAGCTACAGTTCAATAGACTTAGATATGTAATCATACTATCAAAGTATCAAAATTCTCTGTTCGAAACCATACTATCTCATCGATTATTTTCGATAAAATCACTCCATGCACAATATATATACATACATATATATTCACAATGAAGACTAGTCATGTACTGAACCATACATTCTGTACATGTGCATTGAGATACATAATATGTATTTAAACATGAAATATATATTAACACATAAATTATAGTTAAATATATATATTTCAATGCACATACACAGTATATATATATATATATATATATATATATATGTTCACAACGGATACGAGGTCATGCACTTGTGCATTGAACCATGTATATATATATATATATATAAACGCAAATGTAATATTTCAATATATGTATATATACATATTAACACACAACACATATTTAAATATATATGATGTATATCCATATACAAAGTATATTGCAATGCACCAAGTACATGAGTCAACACACATACAGTATATGTGAACGTTTGAAAACATAGTGCGATCGAAACACCATGTGTGGTTGTAAACAAACAACCAGCAACGGCACGAGTACTACCTGAAAGCCCGTGTCAAACATAAACATCGAGTACCACGGGACCATGGGCAGCGCGTGGTCGGGCGGGAGCGTCGCGTGCTTGTTGTTTTCGTCGTCGTCGTCGTCGTCGTCGACGCGGTGCCACTGCATCGAAAACATTTGGAACCCCACCATGCGCTCAAACACAAAGTTGATCATCGCCAACGTCATGCCCGTGAGCCAAATGTACAGCGCCCCTTGGTAACTACGTGGATATATCAAGAGGAGAAATCGGAGCGAGCATGACTCATTCAAACTATATATATCAAACAATCGAGGCGGGAGATATTTGGTTATATATATAATATCAAAAATGCACGCGGAAGAAGATACCTAGCAGGCACAGGGATGCGGGAACTCGCGACTCCAAACACGTGGTCACATGCGTGTCGGTTGTACGTTTTAGGAAAGTTGGCGTCCTAATGTGGTTGAGAACATGCGTCAAAGGTTTAGGGATGTCGATGGGAAAAGACATGGTGTCGTGTGGACGGCGAAGATGCTGAGGGGGCGTACCTCTTCCTCCGCATCGCAATGGACGATCAAGATGCAGCAAGACACGCTCACGGCGGCACTGTTTCGAAGGATGGTCATCACCAGTCGATTCCATCTAGACATGTCCAGATTATTACGCGACGACGACAACGGGGAGGGGGGTAGAAAGTACGAGACGCTCGACAGCCGAGAGACCAAGCCAAAACACTTGAGAAAGTACAACACGGCTTGAAACACCGCGAGGATGGCAATAGAGCTGAAGAAGATGGGCAGAAAGAGCGATATCTACGATGGTTCGCGTGAGAAAGGACATCGAGATCTCGACGACGCAGTACCGGTTGCTTGACGTCGTAGTCCATCATGCCAAGCTTTGTCAACGGGACATGTACCACCACCGCAGACAACAGCCACGTATACAGTCCCATTGAGAAGTACACGTACGGCGTCCATCTGTCGAGGAGTTCGCGGTTCTCGACAAACGGGCTCGTGAAGATGTAGAACGACAGGAACACCGTCGCGAACACCAGGAACCACGTCTAGACAGCATAGGAGCACTGTGATCCAGGGGAAAGGGACGCCATGATGCGATCGATTATCGCATGCGATGGAGGAAGAGATGGAGGAAGTGTCCTAACGTTACCCATTGATCTTGCGGTGTCGTCCTCATCGTTGGGCACTCGTTGACTGTGAGCGCCGAAAATGTAGATTCAAGTTTCTGATCCTCGTCTGTGATTGGTCCAACCTAAAACACAGTTAGATTGGCTAAAATAATTTTCAAAATGAGTTTTGATTGGCCATAATGTTCCAATTCAAGCGTTCTGATTGGCACAATGTCGTCTATTGTGACCCTTCACACACCCATGTCTACGCAACAAGGTCCAAGGGGCAGCCGCGTTGTACCGCCGGTATTACAGGTATTCGTGTCTTTCACAGGAACGTTATGCCCTAACTTGAATACCTGCACATGCTTTGATGGCAGTGAAAAGTGAAGCGGGTACACCAGTGCTATCCACTACAGTTGCTTCGAGGTCATCTGTCTGCATCATGGCAAGTGCGACTCGTTCTGAGCTACTACTGTGCAAAGAACTGCGAGCAACTTCGTCGCATACCCCCTCTCCAATACTGTATGTACGGCAGCAATTGTATGCATCACGCGGCCTCAGGAGTGTCTCCCTCGACCGTAAAGTTTCACTTCCATCAAGAAATGCCAAAATGACGCTGACAAACGGTGCTAGAAAAGACGCATCCGGATACGTTTATCCGGAAGCATGAGGTGTGAAGTTGACTTCGACACCATTCGCACACCTTTGACACACACGACCATGTTAGCTCGATCCCGTGCACTACAGCGCCGCGGTGTGTCTGCCGTTGTCCATTCGTCGGTAGGACGCACACCACCTTCCTATCCATGCTCATTACCTCTCCAGTCGAGCTGAACTTGCAATCTAGGTGCACCAGACCGTCGCCTGCCGATCGCCGACTCCTTTCGTCTTGAAGCCGAAGTACATGGTAGGTCAACACATCCTCGTTCCTCGAGCATGAGTTGCATAACACCCTGTTAGAGTCTCAATGCAGCAACAACCAACCTGTCTCGCGCGACATTGGAGAACGTGACCGCGAATCGTCCGGTGGCGTGGTGGCTCATGGGCTGCGCTGGGATGGTGGGTGCGATGGTCGCTGTGGGCGGCGCCACTCGGCTGACGCGATCCGGCCTTTCCATGGTCACGTGGAAACCCCACGGCGGCCTCCCGCCCATCACGGATCAAGAATGGGCCGACGAGTTTGAGTTGTATAAGAAGTTTCCAGAGTTCCAGCAACGCCAACACATGACAGTCGACGACTTCAAGCAAATCTACTTTTGGGAGTACAGTCATCGCATGCTTGGGCGCACCGTGGGCCTGGCCTTTGCCGCCCCACTGGCCTACTTTCTCATCCGCAAGCGCATTCCAAAGGAAATGTACGGCCGACTCGCCGCGCTCTTTGGCCTAGGCGCGTTCCAAGTACGTTGCCTCGGATATATTCGGGCTGTGGGGGTTTCTAATACTTTATAAATTATTCTAAATATTTCAACTTATTCATTGTTTTGAAGGGTGGAATTGGGTGGTGGATGGTCCGCAGTGGTCTCGAAGAGCGCGACCCGACCGACCGCCGTGAAATTCGCGTCAGTCCGTACCGCCTCGCGACTCATGTACGTTCGAATATATATATATATATATATTTGTATCTTGGGAATTATTCCATATATTCCATATATATATATATATATATATATATATATATATGGTGGGGATTCCTTCGTACGCATTCTTCTCAAACGGTTTGGGGTGTTCGCTTGATCAGGACATGTATACATTGTACGAGTGTATGATTGTCTTTAACCCAAAAAATTTGCACTTTTGTGCTGATTCGCCAAATCTATCGATTATTTGCCCTAACTTTTATATGTAAAAATGGTCCAGTGTTTCACATTAATTGAAGTCACATACTAATTCGATATGTTGCTTTGGTCGAATGTGAGTGAATAATTTGATTGGCTACTTGATTCGTGTTGTGGGTTTTGATTGGTCGAATATATCGATTGTCGGCCTGCGATTTATTTGGTGCGGTTCGCACCCAAACACTCCAATTTCGCATCGACTTGACAATAATATTTGCTTATAACATACTGTATGTACTAAACTCTCCAATTAAGTCGTCGCCATATCCTTTACTTGGGTGTTTGATAATAAAAATATGCAATATATATCGTCGCGATGATAGTATACTGATGTACACACTATATATATATATGAAGAAATAGGACACATCGACAAAATTCATTATGCTAATATATATATATATATATATATATAGTTGGGCCTGGCGTTCACAACGTGTGGGTTACTGTCGTGGACGGCGTTCGGAGTGTTTTCCCCGCCGTTGGAGTCCAGTTTCAAGCTCGTCACCGACACGATCACTCCCGCTGGCCTAGTGAAAATCTGCCAAGTCCGCAAGTGGCTGCACCGATCTGCGACAGTGTTGGCGATTACGATTGCTTCGGGGGCGTTTGTAGCTGGCATCGACGCTGGCATGGCGTACAATACGTTTCCCAAGATGGGCGACCAGTGGCTTCCCGACGGCATGTTCGACATGGAGGTATTGTGCATGTCACTCAAATTTGGACTTGTGTATGTCATATAGCATTCGAATCCATGTAACCTCATTTAAGCTCGTACAAACTATATGTATGTGGTTTTGCTGGGTCAAATGTTTGGATTGGTAGAAACTCGACAGAATTACGTGATTTGATTGGCTTAGGCGGTTCTTGAATCATTCTCTTTGGACTTTCGATTCTACTGACGGCTCCAGTTTCGAATCGATTTGTTTCTCTTATATTGCAAAGTTGCGTCCTATCGATTGAGTGCTTTGTATTTTTGACTCATTTTTATTTGTATGGTGTCCATCCCACGAAATGTACTTCAAGTCACACTCGAATGTGATTGGTTGGTTTCGTACAATCTGATTGGCTGAATACATTTGCCCATTCCACGACAAATATATCAAAAACGATCGATATATTTACTGCCAAGATTTCGAGGTTTTGGGTTCATCCGCCGAATCCATCGATCGATATCGGTCTAGTTTTTGTACTGAGTTTTGTATGTGAAGACTGTTGATGCGAATATATTGGATTGATTGATTGGCTCTTTGATACGTATTTCTGGGTTTGGATTGGTCAATAATCGATTGTATATGCTACCCCACTCGAAATTTCGTTTCAAAGGGGCAATATTAATATATATATATCACTTCCAGCGATGATGTATATATATATATATGCTTAGCCGCTGCACGTAAGGGGCTTAATATATATATATATGAATCACTTCGAACGATGATGTATATATATATAATAATATATATATATATGCTTAGCCGCTGCACGTCAACTTTTTCGAAAATACGCCGCTGGTGCAGTTCGACCACCGCGTGCTAGCGCTGACAACATTGGCAGGGTACACTGGACAAGTGTTTATTAAGGTTTTCTCATGGATAATATTAACGATGGTAGGATCACTGGAGCGTATGCCCTCGCGCGTAACCCAAACGTGTGGTGGCAAATCCCAGCGCCAGCTAAAACTGCGCTCAATTTGAACGTGGCGGCGGCCGCAGGCCAAGTCATGCTCGGCATCTCGACGCTGCTCAACTGCGTGCCGATTCCGCTGGCCATCGCCCACCAAACCGGCGCGCTGGTGCTCATGACGTCCACGGTATACACGCTGCACACGCTTCGATTCGCGCGACCTCTCGGGTACAAATGGGCTTCCTCCATCAAGCAAGCCAGCAAGCCATAACCAACCATGTCGAATACTACTGTAGTGGGTTTATACACTAAATAGATGCGATCTTTGCTTTACATGCGTAGACAATGTAATGGGGATATAGATATTGGTATCATCCAATCTTGTCCGAGGTTCGACAAAGATTATATAACGTTAGTATATATACAGTATACTGATCTCCACCCTTAAACGAAACGGAGCAAATTATGCAATTCACACAGTAAATTAACTCTTACAGGTATTTGCAGGCTGTCTGAACCAACCATTTATACATGCATTCAAGCGCTGGGCGTCTCCAAGTCAGAGCTGAGTATGCCAGTGCGTCTCCAGCAGTTTCTCACAGTGGAAATGATGTCATCCATTTCAATGCCAAACGATTCAAGTGTTCGAATTTTGAAAAAGTCATCACCTTCCGATATGGTTGGATAATATAAAGTTTCAAAAATTATCAAGTTTACCCCGTTTCGTTTAAGGGGGGAGATCAGTATATGGTTTTGCCCAATGCGGAGGGGTCAAACGTTTGGATTGGCAGAAATTCGACATGACGTGATTTCATTGGCTCAGGCGGTTCTTTAATCGATTCTCCTACCGTATAGTGTATATGTATTGCGACAGGTGATAGATATTTCACAACCAGCTGACAC